TGGTCAATCCATCAGGAGGACAAGGCAATCCTGGATGTGTATGCACCAAACTACAGAGCTACAAAATATCTGAAGCAAAACTGGTGAAATTGAGAGGATAAATAGACAAACCTACAATTATAGAGATGTTAGCATTCCTCTTTCAACAACCGGCAGAAACCAGACAGAAAATCAGCAATGATACAGAAAATTCTATAACACCAACAACGAACAGAGTCTAATCAACATTTATGGAACAGTCCACCCAACAACAGCAGAACTCACATTCTTTTCAAGAGCCATAGAACATACACTGAGATAGACCATATCATAGGCCACAAAACAAATATCAACAAATTATAAAGAATTCAAATCCTAAGAGTGTGTTCTCTTACCATAATGAAAGCAAACTAGAAATCAACAACAGAAAGAAAAACAATACATTTCTAAATAATCCACAGCTCAAGAAGATGCCTCAAGAGAAATCAAAAATTACATTGAACTGAGTGATAATGAAAGTACAACATATAAACATTTGTGGGACACAGCTAAAACAATGCTGAGAGGGAAAATTATAGTACTAATGCTTACAATAGAAATGAGGGAAAGTATCATATCAGTAATCTAAACTTCCACCTCAAGAACCCAGGAAAAGAAGGAAAAGTAAACCCAAAATAAATAGAAGAAGGAAATAATAAAAAACAGAAATCAATGAAACCAAAATTTGGTTCTCTTTAAAGATTAATAAAATTGACAAATCTCTAACAAGACTGACAAAGGAATAAAAGAGAAGCCACAAATTACCAATACCAGAAATTTAAAAAGGGATATCATGACAGACTCTGCATAATACAGGAATACTGCAAATAAGTGTACACACATAAGTCTGATAATTTACATGCAATGGACCAACTCTTTGAAAAGCACAAAGCACCACAATTAACCCAGTATGAAACAGATAAATTGCATTGTCCAACAATTATTCAGGAAATGATTATTTCATAATTTAAAAATTCATAATTTAAAAGCTCAAAGAAAATCTCCAGCCCTTGACGGTTTCACTAGAGAATTCTTCCAAATGTTTATAGGAGAATTAAAAAAACAATTTTATACAATCTCCTCCAGAAAACAGAAGAGGAGAGAGCAATCTCAATTCATTTTATGAAGATAATATACCCTGATAGTACACAATGTGAGTATAAGAAAAGAAAACTACAGGCCAATATCACTCATAAAAATACATGTAAAAGTCCTTAAGAAAACACTAGCAAATAGTATTCAGCAATAAATAAAAAGAATTACATACCATGACCAAGTAGAATTTATTCCAGGGATGCAAGTTTAGTTCAATATTTGAAAATCAGTGTAATCTACCATATTAATAGTCTAAAGGAAAAAATATATGATCATATCATTTGATGAGAAAAAGCATTTGACAAAATTCAACACTCATTCATGATAAAAACTCTCAGAAAAGTAAGAATAGAGGGGAACTTCTTCAACTTAATAAAGCTGACATCATACATAATGATGAAACACTACATGCCCTTCCTCAAAGATCAGGAACAAAGCAAAGAAATATGTACTCTTATTCAACATACTACTGGAAATTGTAGCCGTTATAATAAAGCAAGAAAAGGAAATAAAAGGCATACTGATCAGAAAGAAAGAAGACTATCCTTATTTACAGATGACATAATTGTCTACATAGAAAATTCCAAGAGCTCTACAAGAAAACTTCTAGAAATACTATGTGAATTCAGCAAGGCGGCAGGATACAAAATAAATATTCAAAAAATCAATTTCACTTCTTTGTACTGACAATGAACACCAAAATTAAAAATATACCAATTACAATCATTCAAAAAAATGAAATACTTATGTGTAAATCTAACACTATAGTACTATATTGTATTTGCATTTGTATGACAAAAACTACAAAATGTTAATTAAAGAAATCAAAGAAAACCTAAATATATGGAGAGACATACTGTGTTCATGGACTGGAAGACACAAGATAGTAAAGGTGTTGCTTCTTAAATTCATATACAGCTGAGGGGCGCCTGGGTGGCTCAGCTGGTTAAGCGTCTGCCTTCGGCTCAGGTCATGATCTCAGGGTCCTGGGATCGAGCCCCGCATCGGGCTCCCTGCTCGGCAGGAAGCCTGCTTCTCCCTCTCCCACTCCCCCTGCTTGTGTTCCCTCTCTTGCTGTCTCTCTCTGTCAAATAAATAAAATCTTTAAAAAAAAAATTCATATACAGTCGACCCTTGAACAACACAGGTGTTAGGGATGCTGACTCCTCACACTGTCAAAAATCCACATACAACTTTTGACTTTCCAAAAACTTAACCACTAATAGCTTACTGTTGACTGGAAGCCTAATCTGTAACAAAAACAGTCTATTAACACATATTTTCTATGCTACATGTATTATATACTATATCATTACAATACAGTAAGTTGGAGAAAAGAAAATGTTATTAAGAAAATCATAAAGAAAACAAAATACATTTAGAGCACTATACTATATTTATCCAAAAAAAATGTGTATAACTAGATGGGAGCTGTTCAAACCCATGTTGTTCAAGGGTCAACTGTATAGGTTTAAACTAATTTCCAGAAGCTTTGCAATTACAGGCAAGATTATTCTTTATTTATGTGAAAAGGCAAAGGAACTACAATATTAAAAAAACTAATTTTCTAAAAGAATAATAATGGGGGAGAAATCAGTCTACCCAATTTCAAGACTTATTGTGTAGCTACAATAAACAAAACTGTGCAGTGTTGGTGGAGTGATAGACACACTGATTAACAGAACAGGGTAAAAACCTAGAAAGAGACCCATACAAATTTGGCCAGCTGACTTTTGACAAAGGTGAAAAACAATTTAACGAAGAAAGGATAGCCTTTCAACCCATGGTGCTGGAGCAATTGGACATCTATAGGAAAATAACTAAATAAGAACCTTGGCCTAAACCTCCCATCTTATATAAAAATAAATCCAAAATGGATGATGGATTTAAATGTAAAATCTAAAACTATGCTACCTTTTCAATGTTAGGAAAAAAACAGGAGAAAATCTTTGGGATTGAGATCTAAGTAGAGTTCTTAGACATGACACCAAAAATACAATCTATAAGAGGGAACATTGATAAACTGGGCTTCATCAAACTGAAAACTTTTGCCCTGCAAAAAACCATAAGGAGGATAAAAAGACAAGCTACATACTGGAACAAAATATTTGTAAATTACATGTTTGACAAAGGACTGGTAAGGGTATATTAAGAACTCTAAAAACTCAACAGTTAAAAAACAAGCCATTCAATTAGAAAATGGGTAAAAGACATGAAGATGTTTGTCCTTGACATAGTAGTCGTTTGCAGAAGACTTGAATTTAAAGACTATAAAAATGATATATAGATATGAACTTCACACGCTGGACAAGAAACTAAAAAAATAAACAGGCTGTACTTTGGAATTCCTAGTCATGATATTATTTAGGACTAAATAATTCAGAATGTTTAGGTGCTAAACTAATAAACTGTAGGTCAACTTCTGTGGGTAGAGCTGGGGTCTTCACCATATGGCATTCTCAATGTCAATCCCAGGAACGGTCTGAACTAGAAATGTGGGGGACTCTGGGGAATGAGACTTTTACTGGAGAGATGAAAACCTCTCTTCTCCTTGGAGGCCTCTTGGGAGTATTTCAACATTCCCAGACTGAGCTAGTGAGTAAGAAATGCCTTTAGCCACCCTTAGATATGGCTGTCCTAGAAGCTATATTGAAGACACAGGTTATTCTGTGTGGTACTTCCCAATATCGCTCTGGTCCACTCCCATGTTGGATGAAATTTTGTGGGAATTTCAGCCTGGTCTCTGATGTGTAGAATTTGAAGAAGAACTGGTTTCTGCTTTGCCCTGAGTAGCTAAGGGTACAGAAAGGACTCCTGCCACCCAAAACCAGGTCAGAAAGATGGTTAAACATCTTTGAGTGTCAACTTCACAAGGGTCACTGAAAACAGAGGCAACGGGCAGTGGCTTTGCCCAAATGAAAGAACATACAAGACCTGCTCCATCCTGCATATCCTTTGGAACACAGGGAAAGTTGGTGGAACATTTGAGAGAGGTGCTAATTTTGAGCAATCAGGCTGCTCTGTGAGACGAGCTCAGATCACTTGGGTATTTAGAGGAAATAAGATAATATTTTGTAGTCATTGGTTGTTGAGGCTGGTACATTTGGGTTTTACTAAGTTAGAGAAAAGTTCAATTTCCCCTTTTCAATAACACAATGTCTTTTCATTAGAAGCCTGAAATAGCAGGGTTTTTCTCTGGTCTTCCATTCCTTTGAAACCCTATTCATAATTAGCTTCCCACAACTCCTAGGTTTCTTCCACCATTACTCATCATCCTGGTCTATTTGTGTTACAGATTATGATTCTCAACCTCCATTGGCTTCACCAAGGTTAGTACCATTTTTTTATTTTAAACCTATATTGCTAATCTTTGGGGAACATACCTACTTTTCCCTTATTACTATATTTAGTACCTTCAAATTAATCTGATATATTCACAGAGGTTCTTAATCTGAGGTCTTGTGGCTATAGAGATGCATGGATAAAATTCAAGCTGTCTGTGAGTTTGGACAGGAAAAAAAGTCACATCTTTATTTTCATTAACCTCTAACCCTAGTTGAGCATTTCCTTCTTTTATTAATGTAAGCAACAAATTACAGTGAAATAAATGGAACATAAAATCTACTTTTATATTGAATTCTAATTGTTTCAGGTATCTCAAAATTCACTTATGTTCATCACTAGTTAAAATTATGATTGTTATTAGATGTGCCACTAGATCTTGTTATTTAATATGTCATATATGAGTATATCACACAAAATATAAAACACATATATTACATCATAAATTTAAAAAATATTTTGATAACTCTTTCAATCAATATAATTGGTTTCTTCTTAACCCTATGTATTTATGTAAAAACTAACAAAGAAAACAAACCACCAACCTTATTCTGAGAAAGGATCCATAGGCTTAACTGTCCAAGGGAATAACGGCACTAGAATGATTTAAAATTCTTGGAAGAGCCAAATGTCTCTACAACACAATGGCAAAAAGATTAAAAGCAACCTAAATGCTCAATGACAGAAGATTGGTGAAATAAATTATGATGTATATTTAGAGTGGAATATTATGCAGTCACTCAACAACGCTATAGAACACTGTTTAGTGGCATACATAGGTATATATCACAATGTTTTATAAAAGAAAAAGTTGTGGGGCACCTGGGTGGCTCAGTTGGTTAAGCGACTGCCTTCGGCTCAGGTCATGATCCTGGAGTCCCGGGATCGAGTCCCGCATCAGGCTCCCTGCTCGGTAGGGAGTCTGCTTCTCCCTCTGACCCTTTCCCTCTCATGCTCTATCTCATTCTCTCTCTCAAATAAATAAATAAAAAAAATCTTTAAAAAAAAAAAAAAGAAAAAGTTGTACATGATTATTTTTTGTAAATCAAACACACATATACATATACTTACAATACACATATATAAAAAATGGGTGTCAAGATACAGAAAAATGCTAACGCTTATTTACAGATGGTGTGTAATAATTTTTACTCAACTCATTTCTGAAAATTTTCTATCAGATTTTCTATTTTTTGCAAGAAAAATAAAAATTATTATCTTTAAAGAAATGAAGTCCTAAGAAATGATCCAAAGGAAATGTCATTCCTACCCCTGATCACCTATACATTCATTCATTCAACACATAAACTTCAGCTCAGTGGTTAATGTTATAGGATGAAGTAATATTATCTACAAGATCCACTATCATTATGGAAAAACATTTACTATTTTCATACAAATGATTTTGCAGCTGAACCAGTAAAAAAGTTAATTAAGTATGATTTATCAATTTTCTAGGCTATGGGACCCAAAGTCAAATCTGTCTTTAGCACAAGTATCGGATATTCATTCCTTTCAAAATTGTGTCCCACCAACCAATAATTTTGTCTTCAGAAAGTCCTTTCTGTCTTGTTTTATTTTTGCTGATTTGTGTTTTTGCTTTTTGAGTGTCCTGTAACAAATAACATAAATTTAGTTTTCCATCATACAAATCCTATTAAAAAATAAGCATATTTTATAACAACATATGTTTCTGAATTCACATTCCCCACAACAAAAACTTCTATTTCCTCTATAACTGTGTCATACTTTACAATTTTTAATAATTCTGAATCTTATACTGGAAAAGATATTCACTGTTATTTTACTATATCTAGGTATTAGGAATTCCAAATGCTACTGAGATAAACATGACCATCAGACTCCTTATATGCTAACCTTTTGCTAACATGTTATATGCTAACATTAGCTGGAAAAAATATACTAAGTTTTAAAAATGCTCCTAACTAAAGGTTTATGACTTTAAAATACAGCTCTTCTAAAATTAGACATTCAGCTAATATGCAAGATGTGACTATAAAGTAATTGGCCTGATATTATTGTTTTTGTTCATAAAAACACCAGAAATTACATAAGACAGGATGTCATCCCCTCTGAGTAGTCACCTACAGGCTAACTTGAATGACACTTACCTTTGCCCAGAACAATATCAGGACCTTTCTTTTGGACTTGTCTTTAGTCTGTTCCTTTTTATTTTAAACATATGTCTTCATAGGCAGCCAAATTTTGTCCTTTTGAGTTGGATTTGATCTTCATCGATAGCTAAAAGTAATCTAGAATAGGATTGGGGCCTTGGATGTACCAGGTAGAATGAAGTAGATATGAAAGAAGGATTGAGGAAAATGCAGGATGACACTCCCTGTGAGGGGTGATACTCAAAGTACTCAACAAAAGGTATGACAGGACAGAGACCAATCAAAACAGATGTCACTGGAGCAAGGTCCTGGAGAACACTGACCAAGATCCAGGTATTAATTTTTTAGTTGCTGGGTTGTGAGGTGTTCTAAAGAGTCCTAGAAGACAAACTGTAGCATTGGGGATAGGTGGGCATTTGGGGGTTTCTGAGCTGTGGCATTTACCAAACAATAAAGGAGATTTGAAGTATTTTAAAATCCACTATTAGTCTTTCCCAAAAGTGAAGAGGCCAGTGCTGTTTATGTGTAGCTCAGGCATTGACTCTGAAGGTATTGCCCAAGAGTTGTTTGAAGGTGTTGAGAGCAATAATATTGGGATAAATGTACAGGAAGCCAGGGTAACTATTTTGAAGGGCATTGCTTATCTGAATATTTAGATTCTTTAAACTCATTTAGAACAGGCACCATGCCTATTTCATTTTTCTCCCTAGCTCCTAACACAATGCTTGGCATATAGTGGTTGCTTAATAAATATTTGTTGAATGAATGGTATGTTTGTTAAAGAAAAAATAACTTCAAAGTAAAATCTCATATTTAGGGTCTTTTAAAATTTTTATTTTTTAAGGCTGTAAACTCTTCATTCTATTGGAGATAATTCTAAAAATCTCTTTAAAGAGAGAAATCTACCAATATTTATTTCTGACTCAAAATACTTTGGATAGCTGCCTACTTCTCTCTGGAAAGCAGTCCTTTTCAATGCTGTTTTCATTATCACGACTTAAAAAGCCACACGTCAATGAGAATCTGTCTCTAACTCCTTGAAGTTCCTATTATTTCTATTCACGAAGAATCTTCCTTTTAGCAGGTAGGACTTGAGGCTTTCTCAAGGCTCGAGCTGCTATACCGTGACTGTCGTCAAATATTTATCAGGCTATGGGTGTCTCGTACTATGCATCATACATCATTTACTTCTCCTAACATCACAGATCAGAAAACTGTCCCAGAAGAGCTAAGCAACTTCCCCAGATTTGCACAGCTAATAAGTGGTGAAAATATGTTCTGAATTCAGGCTCCAGAACTGAGCACCCTTAACTAACACAGTATAATAAGGAACAAGAGCTTGTTTATCTTATATAGACAGGATAGAAATTGAAGGATTTCCCATACCTAAGAAGTACCTGAGAACTCTCAATACATTGACTCTCAAAAACTAGGTTTCAGGGGCGCCTGGGTCTCAGTCGGTTAAGCGACTGCCTTCGGCTCAGGTCATGATCCCAGGGTCCTGGGATCGAGTCCCACATCAGGCTCCTTGCTTAGTGGGGAGCCTGCTTCTCCCTCCTGCTCTGCCTGCCACACCCCCTGCTTGTGGGTGCTCTCTCTGTCAAATAAGTAAATAAAATATTAAAAACAAAACAAAACAAAAAAACAAAAAACAAAAAACTAGGTTTCAGAGGGAGATTTCATTTTACATTCATTTTACAAGTGATACTGAACACATATGATGTTGAGGCACTGTTCTAGGTTCTGGGAGGACAGGTGAGAGATCCATGATCTCTTACTGTTTTGTAAACATAGTGCCTAGAAATTTACTCAAGTCTTCTATGGCTACTTTTTTCATTACTCCTAGTGAGAGGAAAAAAACTGAACCCCTGTGTTCAGTCTGAATTTTGGATCCTAAGCAGTCATCATCCTTGATGAATTGCATAATAGACATATCTCTAGAAGGGAGGACATCTACTATTTTCTTCCTCTGGCTTCCCTGGGGGAATATCTGATCACCTTTGACATCCTGTCCTTATAAGGAGAACAACAGAGGGAGGGGAAGGTGGAGGTTACATGTGAAACACGTAAACTACTTGGAACACAGGTATCATCTAAACATTCCATTAATGCGGGCAGCATTTCTCTGTCACTGCAGGATTACCTGTATAATGCTGGTATTTAGAGCAAGTTCCCTACAGGCTAATGCTTTCATTTACAAATTTTAGGCTTTAGGAGGCATTTCAAGTTATACAGTGGCTTCATGTATTATCATGATTTGGAAGAGTAGAAACATTAACTGAACTTTGTACCTTCCTTGAATGATTAAGTTGTACTTTAAAGGGAGGTTAATAAATAACCAAAGAGAGGGATACTAAAGAACTAAACCTGGAATAGTAAACTGTACTAAATGCCCCAAGCAAGCTGAGAAATACAAGAGAATACTTTTTCACCATAAATCGTCTTAACACATGCCGAAAGATTGGTCTGCTGTAAGTGGAGTTGATGACTCCACTCTGCCCTGTTAAGATTTCAAGGTAAAATAAGGGTTCCTGATAACAGCAATAGCAAAACAACAAAGAATTTTTCCCTAAAACCCCAAATTCTCAAAATTACAGTCATCCTAATGTTCTCAATTATTTATTTTTATTTTTTTCTTCTTATTGTATGATAACATGGCCTCAAATTTCCTTTTTGGAACAAAGTACAATATAAACTTTTAAAAAGAAGCAAACAAACAAATACATAGATAAATCATACTCAGGAGAGTCCTTTCTTTCACCTAAAGATTTGATCTGTGGTAAACTACAAATTTCTTTGGGAGAGATCATGTTTTAAACGATGTTATCAATATGATATGAAAGAGTACTTGAGTCTTAAGAGCAGATTTTGCGAGAAAATAAAAAGTGAGATCTGCCAACATTTTCTGAGAGATAAATGTGCCAAAAGTTTCCCTTGTTCTAATTTTGGCCCAAGAACAAGCATGTGGGACGTTTCTGCATTTGGACTGAAAGTGCTTTCCACAAGTTAGACGATCTGTATGGCACTTGGCATAAGGCTGCCTCCCTCAAGAGTAACTACAACCTTCCCATGCATAAGATGCTTAATACAGACCTTAGCAGAATCTTGAAAAGTCCAGAGATCCAAAGAGCCCTCCGAGCACCATGCAAGAAGATTCATCTCAGAGTCCTGAAGAAGAATCCACTGAAGAACCTGAGAATCATGTTGAAGCTAAATCCATATGCAAAGACCATGAGCCAGAATACCATTCCTTGCCAGGCCAAGAATCACAAACTCCGAATGGATAAGGCAGCAGCAGCCTTAGAAGCCAAATCAGATGAGAAGGGGGTTCCAGGCAAGAAGCCTGTGGTGGGGAAGAAAGGAAAAAAGGCTGTTGGTGTGAAGAAGCAGAAGAAACCTGTGGTGGGGAGAAAGGTTGCAGCTACCAAGAAACCAGCAGCTGACAAGAAACCTGCAGAAAAGAAACCTACTGCCTAAAAACTTATGTTTATTCTATAAAAGTCAAATCACTTTGGACAGCTAATTTTGACTAAAGACCTGTGAGACCAGTGAGAAAAAAAAAACAAAAACTGAGCACCAAAATCTTTGTCTCCCAAAAGTAAAATGCTCAGGTATCTCCACTTTCTATGTTCTGGGAGATAAATCACATTTAAATCTCAAATTTAAAAGAAACTTCTCCCTTGCACTCTTTTATTATATTCCAAGGCAAATAATCAAGTTAACTATCCGGTAGTCACATAACCCATAAGAATAAAATGTTAAAGGATTTTTGTCAAAGGGATTACAGAAAACCAGTCCTTTTACCTCATGGATTGTTTCTGATTTTCTGGTCCTTTAAACTTTCTCCTCTCCTATGTTAAGTCAAATCATCAGATCAATAATACGTGATGCTCGAACCTTGAGATTTCAGGCTCAGGAATGATAATGGCACAAGCAAAATAGGCATTACAACACAAAATTGTGCTTTGCGGAAACTATGGCGTAATATCCTGAAAAAATAGTTCAAGTCATAAAAATGTAGTGCACTGACCTCCCGGAGAGAATTGTGTCCATAGGTCCGGGAACGATGTCTGTTGTCCAACACCCTCACCCCACGTCTGAGCCCTTGTGCTCCGTGTGGTTTTTCTCTCAGGGGTCATTATTGGGTTTCATAATGATTAGTTTGTGTATGAAAAAGGAAAGCTCAAGACTATAATTTCATACATACTTGAAAAAAAAGCATATAAAGAAAATTCAGTAGCGAGACAAGTAATCTCCTAGAGCCTGCTGTGACCAAGAGTATACCTGTGAGAAGGCTGAGCTGATGAATGAGTGTCTCAGCATGTATGGGGACAAACCACAGAGGGGAAAGCTTTGTGTCCCTCTAGCTTAGGAATCCCTGCTCTCCCGGTTCCCCCTTCAGACACAAGGAGAGTACCCACAGAGAAATAGAGAGCAGCTGTTAAAGCCAATGAGTACTGGGGCTACCAGAGTCAGAAATTTAGTGACAAAAATAGGGGGGATATTTCTTTTCATTTTGGCAACCACATACTTACAGAGATATTTCTCAGTAAAAGCCTACGTGAAGGGTAGATTGAAGAAAAGTGGAGGTGAAAGCAAGGCCCAGAGGTAAAAAGTGCAGCAGGCAGAGAGGACTTGGAGGAGGAGTTAAAGCCACATGAGGAGTGAGGGAGGCAGTGCACATACCTGGGGAGCAGTTCTTCAGCCTCTCACCTGCAAAGTTTCCTTTCACTACAGATTCTCAAGTCCTCTCCCCTGAAGAGGAAGCCTAGGCTGGAGAAGAGAAAAATTTGGCTTAAAATCCTGGGTTAGCCCCTCACTGTCTGTGGGACCCTGAGCCAGTGACTTCATAGCTCTGCGCCTTCATTTCCTCATCTGTGAAGAGGAATAACTAGAGGAGAGCTGGTCCATGAAAACACCTGCAACATTGCGTGGCACATGGCTCAATAAATGTGAGATTTTATTACATTCTTATCAACAGTCACGTCAACATAACTTCCCTTTTAAAAAAAAAGTGTTCAACACACGTCCCATCCCCTCCAGTTGTACTTAAGATTTAACAAAAACATAGGTAACTTCCTCACTTTCCCTTCCTTTGGTGAAATAAATTAAGGAGTTTTCTATATTTCTATATTTTTATTTGTATTCATCTCTTTATTCCTCTACATATAAAAAGTAAATTCTTCAAAACAATAGCATGAGCTAATGCAACAGCCTTCTAGCTAGTCTTCCTCATTCCACTCTTACCTGCCTGTGGTCCATTCTATACACAGAGCCTGAGTTATCTTTGTAAAATACTTTGTAAAAGGATATCACTCCCTCATTAGAACCTATGACACTTAGAATAAACTCAGATTCCTACCTGTGAGATCCTGCCTGACTTCTTTTCCTCATGTGAGGCTAATTTCTCTTGCAAGCTCAAAGCAAATCTTGTTTTAAAAACAGTTCAATGCTCTCAGTTTGTGTTGATGTTCAGATAACTGGTTGTTTTGGACATAACCTTTAAATAGACAGCCCTTGCCTTTTCTAACTGTCTTTTATACCCCCCCCAAGTTTTCATTACAATAGTAGTACACTGGCCTCTCAATTCCCCAGCTTATTCTGGCCTCAGGGCCTTTGCACTGGTTACTGTCTCTCCTTAGAGCTCTCCTCTCATAGCTGCTCCCAGTGACCAAGTCTTATTTCAAATATTACCTCCTTCTCCAAACTATCCCATCTAAAGAAGGATGCCCCAACAATTCTCTAGTCCCATTTAATTTTCTTTACAGCACTTGTCACTAGATGAATTTTTTATGTATTTATATGCAAGTTTATCATCTCTTTCTCCTTATCAAAGCATCGCATCATGAGAGCAGGGGTCTTGTTATACCTAGCATTGTGCCTGGAGTAAATTGTTAGCTCCCACTAGGCTTTTGTTGAACATATGAATGAATAATATGCAAATAGGGCCTACATGCTAAAAGAAGAAAAGGGAAATGTGTTTATGAGAATATATTTCGGGCGCCTGGGTGGCTCAGATGGTTAAGCGTCTGCCTTCGGTTCAGGTCATGATCTCAGGGTCCTGGGATCGAGTCCCACATCGGGCTCCCTGCTCCTTGGGAGCCTGCTTCTCCCTCTGCCTCTCTCTGTCTCTCATGAATAAATAAATAAAATCTTTAAAAAAAAAAAAAAGAATATATTTCTAACGGGTTGAATGGCTCAAAGGATATTAGGAAAATAATATCTCAGGGATTAGACCTTCAAAAATTTTCGAGAAATGTTTATATATTCAATTGATCGATGGCTTCAGTCTAGTTTCTTATGCTGGTAATTCAGGGCCTAGCCTCCTGTCAACAGTCAAATCCTTTTAGATAATCTATATAGAGAAGCGTGGGATAGAAACTCAACAAAGACAACAGTCCAGATCAGAACTGCAGATTCTAAAAAAAAGTAAGAGGACCTTTGGGGTGTTCTGTAATTCTGCCTGATAATTCTATTGCTAAGATAGTCACTCAAGCTATAACAGAATGAAACATTCATGAAAATAAAAAAATCATTTCAAAGTAACAAAAGGTCCAATGAAAGTCCTCTTTCACAGAAATAAACATATATTTAACATCATTTTAAGAGTCATTGATCTTATAAATAAAAAATTGTAGCACAAACATGGTATCTGTTTGGCAAGTTTACTTATGCATATTTCATAATTAGGCCCATGACTTCTTTTCCTCATGTGAGGCTAATTTCTCTTGCAAGCTCAAAGCAAATCTTGTTTTAAAAACAGTTCAATGCTCTCAGTTTGTGTTGATGTTCAGATAACTGGTTGTTTCGGACATAACTTTTAATTAGACAGTAATAAAGCACATGATATTAAGTGGATATTCAAATATCGATGCCATAACAAAATGCTATCTCTTTACGATTTTTAGAAAATCCTTCATCACAGATCCCCTTGATAATCTGGACACCCAACTCTGTTAATATAGCTCCACCTTCACTTTTATAGAGGCACCGGCACACTAATTGTTATTTGAGGTTTGGACCAATCCATGCTATCTGGTTTCACCTAAATTCAAAGAAGCAGTTCTCCTTCATTCAATACAACTGATGCTTACAAAACTTCCAGTGACATATTTATTCAGGTTAAACACTTCAAGTTATAAATTTCATCACATTTGCTTCAGTATCTTTTCAACAGATATCATTTCCATTCTAATATTTCCATCCAACATACTCCTTTTTCTAGAGAGTATCTCATGTAATGGGTCCTATGCTGTGTAAAGTTGAGAAATATAACATCTATGCTGTTAATTCAAATAGCTGATAACTTATTTTTCAACAGTGATGGCAGAAACCACAGTGCTAGTGCTTCTTAATGATTCTGCTTAGAAATAGCTAAGGTCACCCCTCACTTTTCATTGGCCACAGCAAGACACATAGCCAAGACTGACACTGATGGGGTGGAAAGTTTTGAAAATTAGGGTCATATGTACCTTTCTCCATTCTTTTGAATTTTTTCCCTGTTCTCCAAAATTTCTCAAAGAATATGGTAGTACTATGATCATATCATTTAGATTGTGTACTGCCTAAAATGCAATTTGTCATGATCTGGGGTTTGAATTCATCTAAAATATTTGTTATGATGAGACTCCTCTCATTGTTTATATCAATAACCTCTTAATGTAATGATCTCTCAGTGTTGTCAGCTTAAAGATCATTCTTCTTGTATAGGCAGAAGAAAAGCAGATGTGTAGTGTTTTCTTTTAAGATGATACCATCATTCTCAAGCAATGGACATATAATTTTCATCTATCTATTGCTCTGAAAATAGCACTAAAAATTGCTGCTGCTGTCTCTAGTGGTTTTTGTGAGCCTCAGCTAATCTTTGCCGTTAACTCTCTTGAAATTCTTATCCTAGTCCTTTGTATTCCCCTTAGTTATAGTTTCTCTCATGGACAATTTACATAGATATCTTCCAGCTTTATTAGACAGCTTCTCTTACCTGCAAATATGCCAGGTTTTCTACCTGCTTCCCCGTTTTCTTTCCATTGAGAATATATTAAATTGTGTGACCAGAATTTCATAATTCAGCATTCTTCATCACCATAGAATTATATTAATTTTTTGAGTCTTTTTTTGAAAATGTCTTTATTTTTTAAGAAAATATTTCATCAGCTTTTATTTGATAATCCAACTTTATTCTATCCTCACAGGTTTTTTTTTAATTTTATTTTCATCATGATAAGTGTACTCTTTAATCCCCATCCCCTCTTTTCCCCATTCCCCTACCCACGTCTCCTCTGGTAACCAACAGTTATTCTCTACAGTTAAGAGTCTGTTTCTGGGTTTCTCTCTCTCTCTCCCTTTTTCCTTTGCTCATCTGTTTTGTTTCTTAAATTCCACATATGAGTGAGATCTTATGGTATTTGTCTTTCTCTGACTGACTTATTTCACTTAACATTATACTCTCTAGCTCTATCTGTGTTGTTGCAAATGGTAAGATTTCATTCTTTTTCATGGCTGAGCAATATCCCTAATATATATATATATATATATATACACACACATACCACTTCTTCTTTATCCATTCATCTATTGAGGGACACTTGGGCTGTTTCCGTAGTTTGACTAATGTGAATGATGCTGCAATAAACATAGGGGTGCATATATCCCTTTGAATTACTGTTTTTGTATTTTTTATGTGCAATTTCTGGATCATAGTGTAGTTCTATTTTTAATTTTTTTGAGGAGGTTTATTTTTTTTGATGGCATGATTATAAGAAGCAATATAGCATAAAGGTTAAGAATTCAGTCTCTGGAGATGAAATTTGAATCTTGGTTGGGTTTGAGTTTTTTTTTTTTTTACTCATTTTTTTAAACTAAGATCAACAAATTCCTAGGTAGAAAGCAGACAAAACCCTATAGATAAGTGAAATGGAGCACAGGAGCCTGCAGCATAGAACAGAAGGGGACCACAGTGAAGGGCAGAGCCTAAATTCAATGGAACTTTGGAAAGGCTCCTAGCTCAGACTGAGCAGGTATACTGGGGGACAGTAGAAATAGGGGCTCATTGAAAGTCCTTCAATAAAATAGCTGCATTAGTTCTCTCTCTCTCACACACACACACACACATGCGTGTGCACACACACGTAACACACCCCAGGATCTCTGCATGCAGAATAAATGGAAATCCAGTGTTCGTTCCTCCAAGATAAAAACTGCGCAGGCACCTAAAGGAATTGAGTAAGCTTCCTGGGAAAAGTACAGGCTGCTAGTGTGAGCTCTGGTTTACCATACCCACTCACCCTTAGGCAAATCCTCCAGATAATAAGCTCTGCCTACATACAAAGAGCCTTTAATTCAGGGAAGAGACGTCTTGGGGAAAGAAACTGCCAAGAAAACCTGCAACCCTAACCTGGAATAATCAACCTAAACAAGAGTAAGAATAAGCCTAAATAAGAATAAGCCAGGACTACCAGACAGATGAGGAAGACTAACAGCATTAAAGAGGAAGATCAAGATAAAATCAGCTGTAGACTTCAGTAGAATATAGTGGAAGTGCAAGAAAATGAAGAAATCCATTTTTAAAAAATTCTAATTAGAATACTCAGAAGTTTTTTTTTTAAGATTTATTTATTTATTTTAGAGAGAGGGGATTGGGGGGCAGAGGGAAAGAGAAAATCTCAAGCAGACTTCCCCACCAAGTGCGGAGCCTGACGCGGGGCTTGATCCCACAACCCTGAGATCATGACCTGAGCCAAAATCAAGAGTCCAAAGCTTAATCAACTGAGCCA